GGCGGGAGCGCTACCGCGCTCCCAGCGCCGCACCCTCCCGAGTACGCCACGGGCTCAGCCCTCAAACTGATTTTTAAATGCCCATACACACAAAAAGAAATAGATCAAGGTTCAAAAAATGGCAAAGGATATAACCAGATAAGTTCACAAAAAAAGAAATACAAATGGCCCCTAAACACATGGAAAGATGCTCAACTATATTCAGACAATATTTTCACCTAACTGGCACAAATCCAAAATCCTGAAAACACACTATTTCTGAATGTATGGAAACAGGCACTCCCCACATTGTTGTTGAGAATGAAAATTGGTACAATCTGGTGACATTTATCTAAACAAAAGATGAATTTACCTTTTGACCCAGCAGTCCTTATCTAGGAATTAATTCTACTGCTATACACACATATGTCTACCTGACACTGCTGCATGTCTATAACAGCAACAGTCTGCAAACATCTCAAGTGTCCATCAATAGGACTACAGGAATCAACAAGGGTACATCCATATAATATTAGGAGTTTAAAAAAAAAAAAAGTGAGAAAGCCCTCTATGTACTAATATGGAAATGACAGAAATGTTTCCACGATACAGTGTTAAGTGAGCAAAGCAAAGCACAGAACAGAGTGGATATGCTATCTTTTGTGTAAGAAAAGGACTAAAACATAAGATACATACTTGTATTTACCTATAATGACGTGAAGGAACTTTGGGGGAATACAAAAGAAATTGAGGAGGAGAGAAGGCAAGGAGAGGCTGGTGTGAAAATGACATTTTTTACTGCATAAACTTTTTCATCTCTTTTATTTTTCAACCTATTCATAAAATAAAGCCATTTAAAAAGATTTGTTTTCAGATTTTTTTCCATCATTTAAGATTAAAGCTACACCAGGGTATAGAACCTATTATCAAATGTTAAAACACTGGTAAAAATGTTTAAAATCACATAACTAAACATCATAGTACAGGTACAAAAACTTGATAAATGGAACAAAACAAATATCCCAGAAATAGCTCTTAGCACATAAGAAATTAGCAAAAATCAGTAAAACAGAAGCACAAACCAGAGGAAAGAATGAATTACAATGTTATGACAACAAGCTAACTACTTTGAAAATCCACTTCATTATGTTTTATCACGCATCAAAATAACTCTCAGATAAAAATGTCTTGAAGCATTACACTATAATAAAGAAGCGGAAAACAAAGGTAAATATTAATTTGATTTCTAAAAGACTTTTTAAAGTCTAAAAACAATCAGAAATTACAAAAGGGGAAACTATTTTAATTTAAAAGGAAAAAAAGATTCTGCATCTCAAAAATCAAACAAATATATACTTAAGAAGAGTACAAGGATAACAAAGCATCAGATGTAGAAAAGAGGGTGACTCATTAGCTCAGTGGGTTAGAGCGCGGTGTTATAACGCCAAGGACAAAGGTTCAGATCCCATACTGGCCAGTCGCCAAAAAAAAAAAAAGTAGAAAAGAAAAGAAACACACTGTCAACATCTGGCTCTGGTTATTTTGGAATGAAGACAGATACAAAATAAACAAAACTTAACACAGCAGATGTATTTGCATAATTTTCTTTTTTGTTCGTTTACCATTCTTCACCATTTTTGAGACAGAGATAAAATGTTTTTCATTTCTGTATTATTTCCTCTCCAGTGGGCTACTAATATCAAAAGCAACAGTACAGATACTGCAAACTTGGCAGGACTAGTTACAGTTTCAACAGAAAATTTCAGCACTTAAGTAAATATTTTGTAGATTCTTGTTTTAGCTCTTTTATTTTTAATCAAAGGTAGATTGCCTCACAGGCCTGCCACAAACAATGACTTATTCTGCAATAACCACAGGGAAAAGGGCATTATCCTGCTTATTTTCCTGACTGCCTAAAATGATGTTAAGGCAAAGGAAGAGGCAAGTGGTTGGTGTATTTAATTCATTAGTAACTTGCTCTTTATTTCAGTTCATCTAGAGATCTATTCATGATAGTTTTAATTCCTTAACTAGACTGAAAGAATCCAGGAAGGCTATCTAATAAATGAAAAGGAAAAATACTGATCAATACACAACTCCCTGATTACACAGCCAACCAATGAAGAAAGATATAGTTAATGAAAGTTTGTGGCAGTGTATAGCCCACTCTGCTTGTACTGCAGCTAGGACCACTCTTGAAAGCCTTCAAGAAGCTGTCCAGTCTGGCTACGTTACAGCACGAGGCTGCCGTCACTGCGGCACTTCCACTAACACAGAAGGGTGTTTATAATCGAGTAAAGATACATGTAAAGCTGCAGTACTTAATGTTTAAAGAATCAATACTAAGGCATAAAATACTTAAAAAATTTTTATATGGACAGGAAAAAAAGCCATCACTGCGGCACTTCCACTAACACAGAAGGGTGTTTATAATCGAGTAAAGATACATGTAAAGCTGCAGTACTTACGTTTAAAGAATCAATACTAAGGCATAAAATACTTAAAAAATTTTTATATGGACAGGAAAAAAACATGGAGATGAAGCAAGATTGGAGAGCATCCTTTTTTCAAATTATAAAATATTCAAGTATATAGGAAACTAGAAAAATGGTACCGTATACAGCCATATGTACACTCACCACCTTCATTCAACATTTTACCATTTTGTTTCATTATTAATTTTATTGGCTAAGCCATTTTAAAGTAAGTTACAGATATTGTGATAGTTCACTTTTAAATAGCTCAATATGCATCTCCAAAAATTAAGAATACTGTCCTTCAGAGCCACTATACCATTATTATATTTAACAAATTTAAAATAATTCATCTCACAGCTAATCAAAATTTTCCCACCTAATTCAAATTACCTGTGAATTATTTCTTTGTTCAATTTGCCTTCCACCTCTAGAAAATGTTTGGGTTTTTTCCATCCAAGGTTTTTTCTGAGTTGCCTGGCAAGTTACATTGGACCAATTTATACCACCTGTAACAAGTGAAATTTAAAAGAATTATTTACTTACAAAAGATGCCAAAACCTAAATTGCCCTCCTATTCATGTACTGAAATTCAGTCACTATAAATGTAATACTAAAATTTTTTCTATTAACTTTAAGTAGTATTTCAGTTCTTAGTAACACAGTGTCATCTTGCTGAACAGATATTTTCTCAACTTGATCAGCAGAACTGTACTTTCACATTAACTTGAATCTCCCAAAGATTGCTAATTTTTTTTTTTTTTTTTTAGTATCAGCAAGCTTCATGCTTAAATGGAAAATTTGAACATGGACAAAGAAGAAAGTATAGCAAAAACATCATACAGAAAATAAGTACCTGCACATACAGATGATTCCACATGCTAAAAAGGAAACAAAAAAAGACAATTATTTTCTACCTAAGAGTCAATATTATTTACCTTGCAAAATGTTTCATAATTTAGTCTAGTGTGAAGCTTGCTTATTGCGATCTTAGAATACTTCTCCATAAATGAACATTTATATTATTAATAATGAAATATATAAAACACATTGTTAACTATCCTATTACTATATGAATTGTTAACAAAAATAGATACTTCAGCTTTAGCAGAGGACACAAAGATAACACTGTTATCAACGACTGATAAAGAAATCAAGGCAATGTTACATACGTTCATGGTCCCAGAGTCAGGATTTCTCAAAGCCCCCACTGTGGGCTGGTTGTTGCTGTGTTTGGGACTGCAATAACCACTGTCACTGTCAATGTCGGCTTCACTTGCTCCCTGCTCACTAGAGGATTCAGCAGTGGGGTGGGATGCTCTTCTCCTTCTGCCTTTGGACTTCCAGAGCATTGTGGCAGTACTCTCTGAGAGAGACTTGTTAGCAATATCTGATGGGAAATCTACAAGACAAGGGAAGTATGACAACTCTTTGTGATGACCAAATTGATAAATTCTTGTTAAATTATCATTAAGGCTGTAAGAAAATAAAGATATCAAACTTCGTAAATGGAAAAATAGGTGACAACTTTTTGAAAAGATTAGTAAAAGGTAACATGCTCCTGATAAGTTGGTTTATAACATGTTTTTATTATGAAAAGAGAATAAAATATTTATATCACTTAAAACAACCATCAGCCATTTAAGAAAGAGAACATCACCAATCTTCTGAAGTCCACTGTGTGCCCCTTCTACCACAGCATCCTCTTTTTTCCCCAGAGGTTACCTCTACTCTAAATTCTGTGTTCACCATTCCCTCACTTTTCTTTATAGATTTACTATGGACTTTTTAAAAACTTTATTTAAAAAAAAAAAATCATACTGTCCACATTCTTCTGTGATTCTCCCCACAGGCACTCCGTATTGTTTTTTAGATTCTGATGCATGTGGCTATAATTCATTAGTGTCACTGAAATCTAGAATGCCTTTCTATGATTACACCATAATGTATTTATCCCCTGTGATACAACATTTGGGTTGTTTTGTTATTAATAACAATACTGCTATAAACATTCTTATATAGACACATTTATATACATGTGTTCATGTGAAAGTCTGTCCAAGGTAAATACCGCTGGGACTCAGGGGATGCAAGCATCTAACTTTACTTAACGTCAAATCACTTTCAAAGGTGGTTAAAACAATTTACACTCCAACAGCAAGATATAAATATCTCTACTGATCCACATACTCACCAAATACTTGATACTGTATTCTAGAATATAATTTTTGCAATCTTTTGAGGATAAGAAGGTGACTCATTGTGAGTTTCGATTCGCATTTTTCTGCTTTACATAATGCGATTGAGCATCTTTTCTGATACTTTTAGCTGCTAATGTTTTCCCTTCTATGAAATTCCTGTTAATTTTACTTTTGGATTACTTGACTTCCATTTTTCTAAGTTATCTGTTTCTTATTTTTTTATTTCACAAATTGTAACCACAGTAAGACATTTCCCCTCCACCCAAAAAAGCTCTTACAATCTTCTCTCAACAAATCACAAGTTTTCCTTTTTCTACATTTCTGCCCATAAATACTTTTTGTACAGCATTGACACAATTGTGAGTTCTGCTCTGCTTAACATGTCTTGTGTTAGGATAAGTCTTCATAATTATACTCTAAGACGGCTCCATATTATTCCACTGAGAGTGTATCCTGTGTTTTCATGACTTGTCACCTGCTACTGGACACTAACAAGGTTTCATTGTTTTTGTTGCACTGGTATAACATGCATCTTTAATCAAATAGCCCCTTCGCTTTCTGGGGGGAAATTCCATTTGGATACATTCACAGGAGTGGGATGACTGGGTCAAAAGAAAGATTCCTATAGTCCTGTCAAACTGTTTCAACACTGTGTCCCAAGGGCCCTAAGGATGGGGTGGGATCATTTTCTTATTGATTCACATGAATTCTTTATATACCTTATACTAATCATTTGTCAGTCACACGCATGCTAAAAATCTTTTCCAAGTTTGTGGCTTGTTCCTTCACTCACTTTTAATAAGCAGAAATCCTTAATTTTAGAAAGAGTTCCCTCCCTGTAGTTATTAAGATATCTAGATATCTGCCTATATTTCTTCTACCATCGTTTTTTTCCCATTTAAGTCCTTAATTCATCCGGAATAAATTTGTGTGAGGAACAAACTAGGGATCAGGAATGCTATTTTGTCATTTTCCACATGTGTTTCCATACATATATGGGTCTGTTTGGGGGCTCTCTGTTCTGTTCAATTTTTGTATACTTCCACTGATAATATAAACCTATAAGAATTAAGAGGGCTTGATAAGTATTGATATCTAGAGGAAAAGTTCTTTTCCAGAGATGTCTTGGTTCTTCTCAGACCACTGCTCCTTCATTTCAGAATTAGTTTGTCAAGTTCCCCCAAAATTCCTATTGGAATTTTTATTAGAACTGCATCGTATCTACAGACTAACTTAGGGAAAACTGACATTTACAATATCCAGTTGTCCTACATGAACATGATATTTAGGTTTTTCTTAATGTTCTGTAATAAAATCTTATGGTTTTTGCACATATGTCTCTCACATCTTCTCTTAAGATTTATTCCCAGAAACTCTGTATTTTTGTTGCTATTGTAAACTACATTTTTTTAAAGCTTGTAGGCACACTTAAATGCAACTAACTTTTGTACCTTATATCTAGCCATCTTATTAAATCTTATTAAATAATATGAGCTTGTATTCAAAAAGTAAAAATTCATTACAAATGGAAAGATATATTCCTATTAAACTATAATATTTAATTCTATCTCTGATTGATACCAACTAATCCTCAGAAATTATGAACTAAAAAGTAAAAATACTGATAGAGGGCTGGCCAGTTAGAACAGTTGGTTAGAGTGCGGCCTTCTAACACCAAGGTCAAGGGTTTGGATCCCCAGACCAGCCAGCCACAAAAAAAAAAAAAAAAAAAAAAAAAAAAAAATTACAGATAGAATGTACAATCTTTTATTCAAATTACGCCTTCATCTTTTCATTTTCTAATTTTTATGTTTCAGAAGATTGTCTTTGTAGTTTGCTTAATGAGCAAACTAAAGAAGTAAGGATAATTTTTAAAAGCCTTCCCAAGGTTGAAAGCATGTAGAAATGGGTCACTATAACCAGGAATGACCAAAGCAGAAAACTTTGTAATATATTACACTGTGATTCTTTTCCATAGCTATTCCAAGCATTTGTCAGAGTCTGTTAATCTCACTGCTTTATTGCCCACAACCCACATAATGACTATACTATCAGGAAAATTGTTTTTTTAACTGATTCCCAGATCTTTTCTCTGCTCCTAATGGACCTAAGCAATTGTAAAAGGATAAATGTCCAAAAGAAAAAGTACAGCCCAAATAAAATAAAGGATAAGCCATCATATTCATTTCAACCTAGACCTTATTTGAGTGGAGGCTATAGAGGGATTAAAAGGCTATTGTGCCTTTGAACAGATCTAATTCATGGCCTTGGATCATTAACAAAAATTTTTTTACCAGTTTCAAGAACAATGTTTAAGAGGAGATGGATATCTACTCTACAGATAATAAGTTGAGATCTGAGATACAAATTAGGATTTCATAATATGAACTGGAAAAGTTAGAATATTGTAAGAATATTAATCTTGTATATTACCAGGATAAAACTTTTTAACTTAATGCTTATACAGTCCTCTAAATATTTTTAACAAAATGATATCAAACTACTTCAAAATTTTTACTGACAGGATACAGGTGTCACTCATAGGTCTAGTTCAGATCTATGATAAAATATGGCACAGAAAACTTGCTAAGTTCTTTCTAGAAGTTTGTTATAAGACATTAGGATGTTTTATAAATGGTTTTAATCTAGTTATAAAAGATGTACAATTTTGATTTCTACCAAAATGAGTCCCTCAAATTTCTACCATATCTGCAAAACTCCATCTGTGATTTCTAAAACGCTCCATTACTAAGAGGGAAAAGGAAACCTCAAACCTTGTTTAAAACTGTACATAAGGCAGTAAGCAAGATGAAAGAACGTTAAGGACATGGATGGTTTTATCCTTCCTAAAGAATTTCACAAACTAGCAAGACAAATGGAAAGATGGAAAGTCTAGAACTCTGAAAAGTGGCATAATTCACAATTATAAAGTCACTGAATGAAAACAGATAAAAATCACTGATGTGTAACCTTACCAGTTTGCTGAGAAGCATCTACCAGGAGCACAATCTTTGATCGATTATCAGGACCTGCTGCATTTGTTTCTTTCTGAGTAGCTACATTTTTCACCAGTGGCTTTTTGCTTTTTATATGCTGTTGTATAAGCTGTTGATTTAAATTAAAAAAAAAAAAAAAGAACCCATTAAATGTACTAAACATTATAAAATACAACTAAATATATGTTCCAAATTAGTGGCTCCCACTAACAGGGTTACCTTATTTGGTTTCATGAAATTATCTGCTGCAAAGCATAATAGGCTAAATAACAAATTATACACATATTTGTATGCTATTTTTCAAATAACCACTAATATTACTATGAGTAATAACATATCAGCTAATTTGCAAATTTTTATTTAAAAGGGTAATAAAAAGGGTGGCAACTTATCCCAAGGCTAAATTTTAGTTTCATAATAGCAATGAGTTGCCAAAAAAAAAATCCTGCTTCAGAGTTCAAAAAGAAAATATAAAAAAACTGATTTCTTCCTTCACTTTTTAAAACAGTCACTGCTTAATAGCAATTTATGGCAGGCCGGGTTAGCTCAGTTGGTTAGAGCACAGTGTTGTAACGCTAAGGTCAGGGGTTCGGATCCCCCATACTGTCCAGCCACCAAAAAAATAAATGAATGAATAAATAAGCAATTTATACAACAGAACTCTGAATTTAACTTCTTCAACATCTGGAAATTATATACTACAGGTTGAGCATCCCTAATCCAAAAATTCGAAATTCTAAATGCTTCAAAATCCAAAGCTTTTTGAGCACCAACATGATACCCAAAGGAAAAGCTCATTAGAGCATTTCACATTTCAGATTAGGGATGCCCAACTGGTATACAGTCTGCAAATATTCCAAAATCTGAAAGAATCCAAACTGAAACGCTTCCAGTTCAAAGCATTTCAGATAAGGGATATGCAACCTGTATTATCTTATTTCCAATACTCATTTCTTTTCATTCTTGAAGATCCCAAAAGGATTTCCTTTGAACAGGTGCTTTAGGGTGCTGGCCAGTTAGCTCAGTTGATTAGAGCACAGCCTTGTGACACCAAGGTCAACGGTTTGGTTCCCCATACCAGCCAGCCACCAAAAAAACAAAAGAAAACTGGAATGCTTCCATGAACAAAGACTAAAGACTTTTCAAAGCAACCTCTGCTGCTTTTTGTATTTCAATTTGTAAAAATTATGCCAGGAGGCAGCAAAAACTTCTCCCTGAAGAAGGTGGGCTAACGGAATCTGGGGAAAGCATCAGCTCTTTGATGACACAGTCATAAGATGCATCTAAGAAATCACTCTTCTGTCTTCTTCAAAAACGCTGACCAGAAGCATGAAGCATGTTTTTCTTCTTCTTAGCTTTGATATTAAGGCTAATAAAAGCAGGCTTTTAGGTAAACAAATAGTTATCTAGAATAAACCTTAATTCTCTCTGATTTCAAGGCCTTTTTAAAAAATTAATCAAAAAGCTGGTCCTGGGGCCGGCCCGGTGGCGCACTGCGATAGTGTGCCGCTTGAGAAGTGCGGCGGTGCTCCCGCCGAGGGTTCGGATCCCACATACAGACCGGTTCCCGCTCACTGGCTGAGCGAGGCGCGGGAGCAGCACCGAGGGTTGCGATCCCGTTGCCGGTCCCGGTCTGGTACGGGGGCGACACTGAGGGTTGCGATCCGTTGCCGGACACGGAAAAAGACAAAAAAAAAAGAAAAAAAAAGCTGGTCCTGAATAAAATAGTTTCATATATTTATCTTACATTTTCTTCAGCTCTAGGAGACCTTTTGTTCACATAATAGTTAAGCACCTCTCAGATAAAGTGTTATTCCTACTAAAAATCCATAGAACAGAAAGAGAAAAGTTGAAGAGATCTAATCAATCACAAATGTTTCTTTCCATAGTATCTCCTGCTGACTTCTGAAGATTGAAATATCTTGAAGTACATTAGCCATTCAACACTACTAGCACAGGATCTACACCAACCACTCATTAATGTTGGTGTCACCATGCAATTTTTATCACTAAATTAAAATAATTTGGAAAGACTTGTGCATTATATTTATGTAAAACTCTCTAAAGGAACATGAAGATAACTGTAAATCATGTCATCAATCAGTACTGAGAAATGATCTCTCTATCCCAAACCAGAGGAAAAAAAAAAAAAGAAAGAGGAACAATAAACACAGGAAAAATTATTTTACAAATGATGTACCATTAACCATTTTATAACAGTGAACAAAATGTTTTATAATAAATTAAGCATTCAAGGTCAATACAAGTAGGAAAGTACTTATACTAGAATTAACAAAAGAAATATCAAATTTAAAAGCCAATCAAAAACAGTCACTTACTTTTGGTACCACTGACCCTCTGTTACCATTTCTGCTTCGATGACTGGACAATGGGAAGACCTGTCCAAGCTGATTTGGACGTTCCGTGCATTCTGTGGTTATAGCACTTACAGTATTTGCAGCCTGGAACGTATTGGAGTAAGGTGTAGGAAAAGGATGATAGAAACCCATAACTTGGGCACATGGTGCTGGCATCAGCTGATAATATGTATACTCTGTAGAAACAGGTGGCTGAGCAGATATAATGGGGTAGGCAAGGTATGGTCCTCCAGTAGGGTTTGGATTGGGCTGTTGCCATCGTATATCACTGTTATATAAAGGAAATTGTCTGCAAAACCAAATAAAAAAAAGAACAAATCTATTGACAAGTCTAAAAATAACACCAAGCAAAACATCTCAACTCATCTTAATAAAAGAAAAAACAGTTTGGAGCAGTGGCTTCATAATAATCCTGGGAAAGGTGACAAAATTAACATCATCTTATAAATTTCTTTGCTATAATTAGAGATCATTATGTACATGTAATAACAATTTTTTGGGGGGTGGGGACTGGTAAGGGGATCGCAACCCTTGGCACAGTGTGGTCTGCACCACGCTCAGCCAGTGAGTGCACCGGCCAGCCCTATATAGGATCCGAACCCACGGCCTTGGCGCTACCAGCACCGCATTCTCCCGAGTGAGCCACAGGGCCAGCCCTACATGTAATAACAATTTAAATGACAGTATAAAGGAATCCAACCTGATAGTTTTACAGCATTCTACATACCATTATTATTTGTGAGTCTGCTCTCACCTCCTCAAGATATTTCTGCCTAAAAGTTAAACACCTAGCTGCTCCATCTGCCAACAAGGGTAGTCCAAAGTTCCCATCCAATGCTAACAACTGTGACAGTCTTCTTAAAAAGCAGAGTAAGGTGATCATTACATAGGGTAATTTAATTCCTCTACCTCTCATTCTTCGGCTCAATCCCAAGGCCTCCTACTCCTCACTTGATATTCCTCTAACCACTTGGCCAAGTCCAGCTCTTCTGCTGGCTCCCCTCCTTGGCAATGGAAGCAGGCTCCAGGTCCAAGGGAAAGAGGAGAAGAGAGAAGCCTGTCCACTTACATCTTATGCCCAGCAACACTTCTTCTAGTGTGGTTTCTATAAAGCACCAGCAAGATTCTTCCTGTCCCAGCAGCTTCCTCACAGCAAGATTCTTCCTGTCCCAGTAGCTTCCTCACCAAAGGCTGCTGCTGATGAATGAAGAGTCCTAGGGAGTGGGTAGCTGAAGCATAGAGCCTTTCCTCACTACTCCCATGACAAAGCAAAATGGAAAAATGTTCACTACCATATTTGTATGAATATTTTAAAATAATCTCCTGGATGGCTTACTCATAAATTCTCAAAGATTATTTGGTAAGGCAAGAAAACAAATTAAATTTACAATACTGTACACTTGGCCATTTTGTCAAACAGGAAAACAGTATTGTTAAATTTAGTTTATGGGGCCAGCCCCATAGCTCACTCGGAGAGTGTGGTGCTGGTAGTGCCAAGGCCGCTGGTTCGGATCCTATATAGGGCTGGCCGGTGCGCTCACTGGCTGAGCGTGGTGCGGACCACACCATGCCGAGGGTTGCGATCCCCTTACCAGTCACAAAAAAAAAAAAAAATTAGTTTATGAATCATCTTGTGCATTGTCCAATATAGGTCAAAGATTTGTTATATAATGCTAACTTCAACTGAGAAGGATCCCTTAGTTTCTGTTTGTCCAACCCCAAGACTCTTTATTAAGAACCTGAGAGGGCCGGCGCGGTGGGCAGTGCGCCGCTTGGGAGCGCGGCAGCACTCCCGCCGAGGGTTCGGATCCCTCATACAGACCGGTTCCGCTCACTGGCTGAGCGAGGGGCGGGCGCAGCACCGAGGGTTGCGATCCCGTTGCCGGTCCCGGTCCGGTACGGGCGCGACACTGAGGGTTGCGGTCCGTTGCCGGACACAAAAAAAGACAAAAAGGAAAAAAAAAAGAACCTGAGAATATTAACTTGAATATATAATACATGAGAAGGTAGTTTAGTGGCCTCATATATCATACACTCAGAACTTCTCAAAGAATATGCATTGGCACACTAGTGTGCCACAATGGGTTTTAGATGTTTGAAAATATTGATTGCCTCAGCCCCTAGGGATGTCTGGGCAGAGCCTAGAACCACTAGCTGTCTCATCCATTTATCCCATAGTGCTACAGAAATACAATTTTTTGTGTGACATAAGTTGAAAAAGACTGAAAGTACTTTTGTACAGCAATAAAATGAACTACACCAATAAAATGCTAATCACTCAGACAGTCTAAGCAGTGTTAGAAAGGCTATCATAACAATTACAAATTATGCCCTAACCACTACGTCACACATTATCTGAACTGCAGGCATTTTGCTAAATCACTCTGATTATAGCATGGATGTTAAATTTAAACTAAAATCAGAGTCTAGAAATGTATGCAAACTAACCATGAAAGCTTTGAAGTTAAGGACTATCCCTTGGTGTTTTCTTCTTATGCCAGAGACTATCCTGGCAATTATAAGATTAGACATTTAATCTCAATAAAGGGTTCACCTCTTTCTGAATATTTCATTCTTCCCTTTGGGTCAATTTATTTCAAATAAATTTCAAAGACTTAATAGTGAAGAAATAGCCAAAGACCTCCATTTTCTTTCAGAAAGAATGAGAAAATAATCCATGTTAACAATTTTCAAATTTCTACATCATTTGGTTTAATTTACTCCCTCTTAAAAAATAGAGGAAATGGGGGCCGGCCCGTGGCTCACTCGGGAGAGTGCGGTGCTGATAACACCAAGGCCCCGGGTTCGGATCCCATATAGGGATGGCCGGTTTGCTCACTGGGTGAGCGTGGTGCTGACAACACCAAGTCAAGGGTTAAGATCCCCTTACCGGTCATCTTTTAAAAAAAAAAAAAATAGAGGAAATGGTTAATGTTTAGAAGTGAAAAAAGAAAAAAATTAAGAAGTGTGTTTTGCCAACTTCTATATTTCTCCCTGCCCCCAATAAAGAAAATAATAATAAACAAGTTACCTATTAGACTGGTTTTCTTGCACAAATGGATAACAAGTAATCAGGTAGCTGGGAATTGGAGTTGGTTCTATACCAGAAACACTTCCATTATCATTTGGGAGAGCCATAGGGATCATAAAGGTATCAGGATTCTTCTTCTGAGGAATAAATGGCTCTACCTCAGCTGACAGCTTGACATTCTTCAAAGAGAAGGTGAAATGCATTAATAAAAAATGAGCAAGCAACTTAGTACAAATTCATAATTTAACAACAGAAGAGTCAATCTTTACGAACAGTAATTAAGTCTTAATTAGGTCTCTTCTTGGTACTCATGAAACATCCAGAAGAAACAGCAATGTCAGTTTAAAATAACTGAATAATGATTGAGTTATTTAGACAAAGCCATCAAATAAAATAATAAAAAACTTTTACTACATTTCAGTGAAATTGTTTCTTATATAAACAAAGCTGTTAAAACAATCAAGACAACAAGGAAGTCATACTTCAGGGTCTAAAAATAAAGCTGGTAGTAAGAGAACTAGCTCTTCAGACAAAACTGTGCTTTTAACTAATTTTGTTAGAGGAAAAATCATTAAATGGAGTTCCAAAGCATAATTATATTTGTTTGATTAGTCTAAAAAAGTCTATTTCCATCTATTTCAGGAAATTAGAGTAATATCATTAAATTAAAAGGAAGGAAAATGTTTAAGACAAGTGAAAAATACTTAAGGAGAAAAAACTTCTCTTTCATAGTTAAAACTGGGTAAAATGACAACTACTTCAGGTTCCCAATAGACAGCTGAGCAAACTAAAATAATCCATAGGATGTACTACATTTTAGTTTAGTTTCTATCTTTTCTTATAATAAATCTACAGAGATTTTAAAAGACATATAAAAGAGAAACATACAGTATTTAGGGATATAAATGTGGATGACAAATATATAAAGAAAAGTAAATAAGATCCATAAAAGTCGGGAAAGTTCTATGACCTAATTAGGGTGAAACTTACAAGGTGTTTACTTTACAATGATTCATTAAGCTGTACATTGGTTTGAGGCAGTTTTCTATGTATTGAACAACAAATTTAACATTTTAAATTATTTTTTAATCTGTAAGCATATTCTGCAAAAACAGAATGTTAAAAACCACATAAATATTATAATCTGAAAAGATAGTAAATACTTTTTAACAAAACAAGTGAATGTAAGCCAGTGTTTTAACCACTCAAAACAATTACCTTAAAAGCAATGATCCTAACCAGAACTTTTTCCCAATAAATCCATATGGTAATATTTATTAGAATCTTCCACCAAATCACAGTTTTGAGAATAAATTTTAGGCATGTTTCTCAGAAAAGTAGTAACAAATCCAAGAAAATCTTAAGACAGACAATATATTCAGTATATAGCTTAATATACTTAATAAGAATTAAGTTCCCTAAAAACAATTAACTGTAAGTATTCAGAAATGCTTGTTAAAAAAAGAGGGAAAGAGGGAGGGAGGAAACAAAATCTAAACTATATAGCAGTATAATTCAATGTCTTTTCTCCCTACCTTTTCCTTAACTCTGAAGTCTATATTTGTACTATTAACCAAATCTGAAGTAGATATAGTAATAATACTTAGAAATATTTGTGAACTGAAGTTGGTTTTTTGAATTTTAACATAACAGGCAAAACCACCTTCAAACACTAATAATGTAAGTTAATTTTCTTTGTAATATTCATTAGAACCCATAAGTTATTTACATAGGGTGTAATAGATCAAGCTAATAAATACTTCCCCAGTTAGGAAAAAAGAAAGCTAGCTTTCAACAATAATGCACAGATAATGGAAACTTGCTTCATATAGTTTATACATATACATAAGAGGGAAAATTTAAATCACATTTTAACTGCACCAAAAACGTAATTTTTAGGATTTCTTTTAATCAAAAAGTCTTTTGAACATATGAGAACTCCCTAAACAGTTTTACAAATCTGGACTATTAGACATGGGGTTTTTTTTGTTTTTGTTTTTGTTTTCTAAAGCAAGGAATATTGGTATATCAAATTCTCAGTCTAAAATGAAAAAAGGAACCATACTAATATAACTCTAAGTACATAATTTTAAAATAACACTTTTCCTGACATCCCCCCGCCCCCAACACCAACTCATAAATTACTTTGGGTAACAAAATACTCAAATTCTTGCTCAGGTCAAAAGTTGCAACAAATTTTTACACCAGTCCAATCTGCACTTCACAAAAACAGAGTTTTATGAACTTAGGTAATCCACTGTTCAAAAGAGGTTATGCATAATTTATAACTGTTTACACATATACACACTATATACCTTTAAATATTAAAGTTTGTATTACTTTCTATTCTAAGTGCAATTCTAAATACCAGAGTTCAACAATAAAACTCAGACACTGAAATGATCCTTTGTTTTTAGCAAAAAAATAAAAAAATAAAAAAAAGAGAGAGAGAGAGAAAAGAGCTGCTATAGTCAACAGCTGCACAAACAGAAGATGTCACTAGTAGGAACAGACTGGCAAACTTTCTCCTATACTTACAATTTTGTATGGTTTCAAAAATTGTTTATTGTGACTTTGTGGCCTTCAATATTTTACATCAAAATGTAGCATCTGTTGTTCTCAGGCCAGGAAAACAATATTAAGATCCCAAACTATTCTTAAAATTCCATGTTAATAAAGCCCGTACAGATAATATATTAAGTAAGCAACAGACTCTAACAATATTTTAATTACTATATTAGCACAGAAATAAAAAAAAAGTCTTTCATAGTGGACAACAAAATGGTATGAAAAAATTGGACTATGTACTTCGTATAATGTTATTCCACAGCTTGAATTTCTGTGTACAGTCCGTCTCTTTACTTCAGCCAAGATTTATTTTTTAGAGATTAGAAATTTTATAGCAGGGAGTTGTCTCCATAAAGTAATGAAAATATAAATAAAAGTCTAATCACTCTCGTACTACTACTTGCTTCCAAAAAAACCAAAAACGAAAAAACAAAAAAAAAAACCCCAAACCCCAACTACCTACATACTAAAATTACCTTTATCTTTCAGAAATTATTTCAGAATTTTCCAAATTAATGAAAAAATCATAATAATCACAGCTAACTCTCTCTGAAAAAATACTTAAGCATGGCCAAAGGTAAAATAAATGTCTTCTTAAGGAAAAAAAAGATTAGTGCTTAAGAAATACCTGCTGGCTGCGTTCTTTTCTGATTGGAATAGCTTACACTGAAAGTAAACCAGTTGCCAAAACAAACTGCAGTAGTTATATGTATAAGATTTACAAGACTTCAGAAAATATTGAGAAAGAAAATGAAAGTACTTAACATAGACTCTGCCCACTTGCTTTTCTATTCATACATTTTCCCCTTTTTCTTAAAACAGACCACATCTAATCCTGCTAAAACTTAATGGTACTTTTCTAAAAACCAGCTTTCTAGATTTAACATTAGTTTTTAGGTTATCTAATTTATTAATTCCTGTTTTTACATTTATTATTTTCTCTCCTGCTTTGACATGGGGATTTCCCCCTAACTTCTTGCCTTGGATGCTTACTTTTTATTTCCTTTTTAAAATGTTTAACAATGAGAGCATTTTTATGACTATGCATTTGCCTCAGAGTACAGCTTCTGTTACATCCAACAGGTTTTCATAGTGGTATTTTACTGTTACTACTTTTCCAATAACTTGTCATTCTATTTTTTATTTCTTATGTGACCTAAGGGCTTGAAAAATGTTTTTTTAAGTTTCCATATGGTATTTTCTCTAAATGAACATGTATATACTTTATTTTAGGTTATAAAAGTATTATTTTTAAATCTGATGATTAGGTCATTTACTTATATCGATATATAAATGGGCCAAGTGAAGTATTACTGAATAACAAATAATTCATAATAACTTATTTACAATACATTTAGTTTGGATTGCTGCTACTAGTTGAAGTTTACAAATTATTTTAAGGAAACATTTATAACCCAGACAATTTTATATTCGCATTTGTTCACCTTATTGATGAGCAGCATATTGCATGAAATCATATTCATTACATGTTTTTCTAACTAATGACATTAATAACCAACAATTTTATAAATTCTTTTAAAAGAACTTATCTATTGTGAATGTTCTAAAAATTAAGCCAACATTTAAGTTTTTTGTGATAATACAAAAGAGAATGTAAACCTCAAGTGTTCTGTCACTTCTATGCCCATTGTTTATTAAAAAATCTCAAAACACTACCATAAATTTCCTAAAAATAGAAACACCAGGTCTTTATAAACAAACGTAACTCTGAGATTTATTCTTCACATGTCTTCACAAGATTTTTTTTTAAGATAAAAAATGCATTACACCAAGTAATATCTGTTTGTAGAACATCTAACTCTGGCAGTTAAAATTAAGCTTCTTGTTTTGATTTGGGACAGTCTTGCTAAAAGAGAATACTCCTGAGATTCTCTTCTGGTTATAACAGTTTTTCAAACAATCATTATTGCAATTAAGATTATCCACCTAGCACTGTATTCCCAGTAATTTACTTTTTATGATCTTGGCAAAAATGCATAAAATTTATCTTTTTATAAAAAGATTTTATATAAAAAATGAGACATTCACAAGAACAGCAACATGAATGCCTTCAGGCAAAAAAAAGGTTTAGATTTTTTAAAAAGTTACACTTATGCAGTACTCCAGAGATTTAATTAGGCTAAGGTGAAATGCAGAAACTCTGTACTAAGAACTATTTTTTTTTTTTTTAAAAAGATGACCGGTAAGGGGACCTTAACCCTTGACTTGGTGTTGTCAGCACCACGCTCACCCAGTGAGGTAACCGGCCATCCCTATATGGGATCCGAACCTGGGGCCTCGGCGCTATCAGCACCGCACTGTCCCGAGTGAGCCACGGGCCGGCCCCTAAGAACTATTTTTAAAAAACTCAAACTTCTATGAAGTGCTAACCACTACAATATTATATATAATGAGTAAGTTTTAATGCTGTAGGCATTTCCAGAAATTCTGAATATAAGCCAACACTGGTTTAAAAGGAAAAAAACATTTTGTGAGAAAAAATGGAAATTCTGCACATACCACACACACCTTTTAATGACTTTTCAAAGTTCACTTCAGTAGTGAATAGAAATATAACAGTATATTCCAAATAACCTGGAAAAGCCATTACATTACTCCATGGTACAGTAGGGAAAAAAAAATCAAGAATCCCACAAAGTTTATAAACCTCAGCCCCTAATCTACCATCAAGTTAATGGTTCTTAGCCTCCCCTTTGAGAATGTGATGAAAATAATGAAGACTTGCCCAGAAAAATGCATATGTAAAAGGAAGCACACTCCTTCCAGGTCATCAATGGACTCCTGAATTAACTGCCAGTAGTTTTTAGTAGACAGAGCAGCGTCACTTCTCTGGATCTGTTTTCTGAGTGTGTGGGAAAAGTTTCAAATTACTCCTCTCAATTAGAGTTAGGCTGGAGAAGAGGCAGGAGGTACCAGAAGATAAAAAAATCTTCAACAGAAAACCTTTTTTTTCATAATTTTTTCCTATTAAGTTTCTACAAGGTGTTTAATAGGCCATGGACTTTGGAAAGATGTGGGATGAAAGAGGAAGAGGCCCTCCAGTTTAAATAAACTCACAGCACTTGCTGTTAAGAAAAATCACACACAAACAGCTATGCTAAAAGTTACCAACTAAACAATTAATTACATTTCTTCTAAGATGAAAGGAACTATAAATATACACATGGTAGCATTACTGGT